GTTCCTTTTTTCTGGGAGCAGAATCTAATAACCTTTATCAGATTCTCAAAGGAGATCCCTAACACAAAAACAGATTGTCAAAATATGAAAAATCAGCCCACTAATGTCCCTGTGAGAATTAAAAATCCTTTTGTCTACAAAATCCTCTTCTGTAGTCTTCAAAATAAGCTATTATTCAGAAGCTCTTTTGCATTATTTAATCATTTAACATATGGCTTCTAATCCATCATAAACTTTATAGGAATTAAATCTGGGAAATATTCTTTTATAACAAACTTTGATTCATTCAATCAACCAACTAACCTATACAGAGATACTATGGTTTCAGGAAATGTGTACATTAATTTCTAGACCTATCCAAATGAATAAGACATAGCTCCTGCCCTGAGTGAGTTCAAATTCTTAAAAAAGACATATTAAAAAGAGCCCACAATAAAATGTGGTGAGTAGTATCATAAAGGAATAAACTCTCTAAAAACATAAAGGAAAGAGTAACCAGTAATCAAGGTTTCAGAGAAGGTTTCACAAAGTAGATGGTATTTAAGCTGAACCTTGAAGCATGAGCGTAAGTTTACAAGATAAAAGGTGTGTTCAGGAAAAGAGGAACAGTAGGCTCAGAGGCACAGAAGAATAAAATAGTGGCATGTTGAGATGAAAGATAAGCCCACCCACCATAGGGTTGAAGAAGGGGAATGAAACTGAAATAGATTAGAGTACTATGCTGAACACTGAGAGTACAAGAGCAAACATACAGCATCTGCTCTCAAGAAACTTTACAGTGTTATAGCAGGAGATGATTCTACGTTACTTTGGGAGGTGGATAAGACAAAAGAATGGTCAGGATGCCAAGGGAACACCACAAAGGAAAGTGAACTAGATCCAGTTGGAAAAGGGGAGTCACTACGGGATCTGAGTTGTACTTTACACTCAGTTGAAGGTAGGATGGTAGGATGGTCAAGAGACTCTAAGCAGAGAGTTCATTAGGAGGTCATAGCAGTGATCTACGTAAGAGATAAAGGCTAAAACTAAGACAGAAACAGTGGAACAAAAAGGACAGATTTCAACAATACTGAGCAAATTATTTTCTCATCTATTATATAAGGTGAAATAGAACACTGAACAAGCAAATAGTCCCTATGCTTAAAAAGTACATAGTCCTGTAAGAGATCCAAACAAAATAGACAATTATAATAAAGTATGGAAATGTTACAACAAGTGTAAATATAAAAACTATGTTAGATAGACTCACATAAGATTTGATAGATGTGGGGTTGGGAAGTAAAGTAGTCAGAGAAGGCTTCTCTTTCGGGAGGAAATGATATCTAAGGTGAGATTTGAGGATAAGGAGTTGATTAGCCAAAGGAGATGGTAGGAATGGTTTCAAGAAACATTTCAAAGACAGAAGAATAAAGATGAGAGGAAAATAAATCTCAGGTTTGTAGCCTCAGTGACTAGATGAATGGTGATATCACCGAGAGAGGAAAATAAGAGAGACAAGGATAGTGGTCAGAGGAAGATCAAGAAGTCACATCCTACTGGACAGTTGGATGAAAACACTAGTAGGCAATGAAAAATAGAGGTCTTGAGCCCGGGTGAGAGATCCAGGTATTTGATAAGATTATTATATTATATTACAACCATTACTTTTCCTTAAGGTAAAAATATCATACTAATTTAATCTGACGGACATAATTAAATCCCCATATAGCAGAAATTGAAGGAATTATATAAAAAATTTAAAGAAAAAAAATGGCAAAAAGGCATCCTGCATCGAGCTCTCAATGTCTCCTGTTTTCAACTAGAAACAATTTGGTTAATTAGAGATGAAAACGATGTCTCATTTTTTGATCAATAAAAGAGAACATTCTATACCCAACAACTAACTCTGGGCTTATATACAACTTTCCATATTTCCACTGATTTTGAATGCTCAAAATAAAATATTATTCTAAGAAACACATTTCTTCTTCATTATGCTTTCCTAAATTATGCAAATTTTTATTTCCTCCATCATCAAGGGGGGGAAAACAAATTTTATAAAGCACCATATTTATTACATACTCATTACAATTACATATTACAATACGTTGTTTATTTGCAGGTTTGGCCCCTGGACTAAAATTAAATATCTTCTAACAAATAAGAAGAGGCTAATTTTTTTATCAAATAATAATTTAGTAAAAGCCACAAATTCTATTTAAATTCTTTTTTTCTTGTTTTGTGGTTATATACATCAAATTTTGATATATTAATAAGATTTAAAGGCTGAAGAGTAGTACTATTGCACAGAAAAAATTGTTACTCATAATAACAAAAGCCAAAGTTTATAATGAAATATCTTGAAGACTTGATAGTAACATCATACAACCATTTATAAAAGAGAATTTTAACAATCATAATTTTAGTACAAGTAGAGAAGTCTCATTATGATGTTACTGGAGTTGACAGATGATGGAAGTTTGCCTACATTGTAGATCTCACCTAAATAAAAGCCTGGGGAAAATATTTTCACAAATGTCAAATCATGCATAAATGTATTATACATTTATAAAATGTGGCTACAACCTAAAACCTAACAAGGTTTTGGAGCTCTTTGATTTTCTTAACAAGACAGACGGTCACAAAATGTTAGATTTTTTTTTTTTTTTATGTTGTTAGCTGTGATTCACTAAAAAAGACTGCCACTAGTATAACTTAACATTATGGTTACTAGAGGTTAGTGAAAGCTCAGTTGACCAAAATGTAACTAATAATTATAAATGTTTGCATGGGCAAGAAGATTTTACGTATGATGCTCTACTTTCTATTAAAACTCACAATAAAACATTTCATACATTAAATAACTATTGCTAAAGTCAAGCAAGTCCTAGAATATTGGGGTATGTGTCCATTTTCAAAAGCCTAAGAAGCAAAGACAAACATTTTCAAATCTAGCTACTATTCGATGTACATAATACATAAAGCAAGGAAAAAAGTTAATGGACCATTTATGGACCATATAAAAATGAAAAGTCTACACACCATTATAGATTCAGTAGTCAAATGTTTAGTTCTCCTATTCCTAACCAAAGTAATAAAATGAGAGACAGACATATAACAGCAAGAACACAGAAGTAGAACTTATACAACCTGGGTTAGGTGCCAGCCAGCACGGTTGCTGACTGGATGTGTGACTTTGAATTTGATTTTTTTTTCATGAGTAAGGAAGAAATTGGGACTATATGACATCCAAGGGGTTTTTGGTTTTGTTTTGTTTTACTTTCTAGGATTCCAGCATTAGAGGCCTATTTTTGAGCAGGAAATAAGAATTTGGTAGAATTTGGCAGAAAGCAGATATGCTCAAAACTAAACAATAACATTTAAAAAGGTGCCTAGACCAAGTTTACAGAATGTCGGGTATATTATTCAAAGAGGTATATAATACTAAGACTGATCACTGAAATTACTGTTGATTTAAAGCAAACTTGTGTCTAGCTGACATTTACCTTCCCAGAACTCATTTCTCCTCTGGCAGAATTTTCATGTGGGGATACCCCCTGACCTTCATGTGGTGTTGGTGGCAACCTAACCCCCACCACTCCCAGGACAAGGTTCATGAAAAATCACACTATATACATCCTTGGCCACTGAATGTTGCATGGCATTAAGCCAATCCAGTCAGGTTGAATCTTAGGGCTTTTGCAGGACCTGCCAAAAGAAAGCCATTCCACTGTATACTTGAAATTTTAAGTACCTGTGGCTAGGTGTTCTATAGCGCCCCTGACAACATAATGGGAAAGTCTATTTGAGAATGGAACAATCCACTGGAAGTGGAAACAAGAAATGGAGAAAGCAAGAGAACAGAGTATATTATTTGAGTGCCAGTATGAAGCTATGTCTTAAGCCATCCCTACCTCTAAGGGGTCTTAGTTTCACAAGTCGACAAATTCACTCTCACTTAAGTTAGCCTAGGTTGAGTTCTTTCTTGCAACTGAAAAAACCGTAACAACTAAGCCTCTCTACAGCAATCTCAATACAGTCTTGTAAAAGAGGAAAGATCATTGCCAAGTTCTTGTCATATAGTCCAGATAAATTATTTAATTCCCTTATGTCTCAATACCATCAATAAAATAAAGTATCAGCCATTATCCACCTCAAAGTATTGTAAAAGTAAAAAAAAAAAAAAAAAGTTCGTGTAAATCCAGATATTTAAATACAACACTTTGTAGACAGAAAAATGGTCTCACTTTTACAAGTAATTTTAGTAGGTCATTTTCACAACTGAGTATTACCAAAAAAGTTTCCAGAAAACAAAGAAATTAAGGAACTATCTATAGTACTCGCTATATTTAGATTCAAATCTACTTGTAGTCAAATCTGTTCTGCACAATACCTAGTTATAAGACAGACAATTCAAATCAAGTAGTCTAGAGATTAGGTATTAGTTCTACTGTTGACAGGTTTGTATGGCTTTGGGCAAAATAACTTAAGCATCCATCTAAAGTCTTTACCTGTAAAACAGAGACAGTAACATCCATGTCAAGTCACAAGATTTTTGTGAGGATCAAAAATGAGATAACAGTTACAAAAGCCCTTGGCATGGTCTCTGCATTTAATATTCCTTCCATAAAATGTAAGCTATTCTTATAATTAATTTCCTCAACAGAATATGTTCTTAAATAATGATTTCCTAACATGTTATTCAAATATCTAAAGTTGGAGTAAAACTGCATTTCATTCATTCTAAGATACACATTTTTCACTTTCTGAAATCAAATAGTATCTTACAATTGATGGCAAGACATTGTTTATTTGGCAGTGATTTTTTTCTTTTGTAGTGGTACATAAGAAAACAGTGCATCCTGCAGTTAACAGTTGCCTTAGCTTTGATGAAATAAGGTACACTCATTCCCAACTGAAAAACTATGCTACTTAACCAAATAAAGTAGCATTTACCAAGACAGAGAAAAGAAAGAGTGTGTGTGTATTTACATAGCCAGCTATAACTTTACTTTACATACCTCTGTAGGTCAACTATTTCATTGTTAAGGGTATCTAGCTCCTTAATAGCAGAGAAATCTGCAACAGGACTTGATCCTATGATGTTCTAAAAACAAAAAGTTCACAATTATACATTATAACTATAAAATTATATACAGCAAAGCATTAAAAATGTTTAGAAGAACCAAAGAGTATTACACATTTTATGGTATTATTAATCCTTTTAATTCAATTAAGAAAACCATATCTAGTACAATTTTAAACACACACACAGTTATATACTAAGACGTTTGCCCTTAAATTCTCTAAAAGCTATTGTTCTATAATATGTGCCATCACTACAGATCCCGATGTCTTTGTCCCTTGATCTTAGCCTGTCCAGAATCTTGCAGTAAAGCAAATATCAGATTTATAAACTAATTACTCCTCTGAAATATAAATTTCTTGTGGAGATGGATGGTGATTTATTTGCATCATCTGGCGCAGAGTAAATACACAAATTTTTGTTGAATCTTAGAATTATAATGGTCGTTGATTTTATGCAATTCAACGAATATTTACTTTTTATTAAATACTTTCAGTATCTACTCTATTTAAAATAAAACCCACTGCTTAGGCATTTTCCATAGTAAATATGATTCTCACCATAAATGAAACTATCTTCATATATGACATCCTTTACATATGGTTCTCTTCTAACAATTAAAGTGTCAAAATTGATCTCTGAATGGCACTTGCAGTTAGAAAATCTAGCTGGATTTATTTTGGGGTCTGCTATTTTACTAGCTGCATGGTCTTCACTGGAAAATAAAGAAATAATCTCTGCCCTGCCCACTTTAAAAATTAAATGAAATAAATATTATAGGTGAAGTCACTCCACAAACTTTATATTTTATAAATGTAAGCTATTCTTATAATTAACTTCCTCAACAAAATATGCTTTAAAAGATGGATGGCCTCCCAATGAGTTGATTCTACCTTGGCTCAATCTCCTTTGTGAATCACACTGTTGATGGCTTATACAGCTGGCTAAAGTCAGGGCAAAAAGATAACTGCTCTTTCAAACAGTTGACCTAATACCCAATGCTACAACCAGATTAACAAATAACAGAACAATCATCATTAGGAAATATTATAACTACTGCCTGAACATGTAAAACTAAGATATATTGAGGACCTTATTAGCATAACAGAAAATTTAGTATTAATACTTATGTTGCTGTGAACTTAATGTATGTCACCAACTTACACAACAGAAGAAAGCTAAAAGTTCACAATCTCCCTTTCTCCTCACATTTATATGATGGTTTACAATTTACTAAGCACTTTCAAGTCCATTAGTCGATTCTAAAAACTAATCTGAAAATTGGGTTGTAGAAAGGGCAGATATTATTAACTCTATTTGAGAGCTAAGGAAACAGATGTAATGACTTGCTTATAGGTAACAATAGGTACCAGCTAATAATAGTTTGATCAGATTTCTGATTAAACTCAAGTGCTATTTCACACTCTGCCTTTTGGTATTTGCATATCAAGATTACTTATGTAAATGAAACTATTACCCTAAAAGCCAACTTAATAAATAGGTATAGTAACAAAATTTGGCAAATAATTCCTTCTATATTTCTTTAAGCTATACTGTATTATCAGTCCTCGGATGTTTTGTTTTTGACTATCAATACTGAAACTCATCTATTCTCAATTAATGCTATTCTCAATTTTATATTAAAGTTTGTATCAACTATACCTCTTACTATTTTACTGTGCTTCACTGATACAGACCCTTAGCATCCTAAATTAGAAAATTTAAAGTGGATTTCTGAATGTGACAGGTATTCACTAGGAATCTAACTCTGATTTAATGTGACTTATGAGCTAAGCCTGGCCAGAGAGTCTGAGAGGTGAACAAAATGAAAAATTAGCACTTGGTCTCACTTCTATCGCCAAGAGTAACTTATATCACCTAAACGCCACTGAGAAATTTGCTATCAGAGGTGCAAGCGCACCAAGAACTCATGACTTCCACACCTCTTCTGTCACTCTAATTCAAAAACAGTGACTCATATTTGACAGTCATTCACTACTAAAAGTATCATCAAATAAGAAGAGTGAGACAGACAAGTTTAACTTCAAACAAGTTATAGGGTGATACCACAAGATGACCTCGAAAGGAAGATTAGTGTACTGTAGCTGGTATATAGTTTGTGTCACTCTATTGCTGACACAAAAATTAAACTTCAATACTAAAGCAATAAAATGACATGCAACCAGGAAGCATGGAAAAAATTCAGCTAACAGTATATAAAGTATAAGAAGGGCATATGAAGAAAAATGTAGCAGCATGTCCCCTTCTTTCAAAATATTTTCTCTCACTCTGTTTTGTGCATTACGCAAAAACTCCACATTGATGATTTTAAGTGGATTGGAGAGCCTAGGGAAGGCAAGTTAAAATGCACACAGACCAAGTGACAGACATGTGACAAAAGCATGCTGTTTAGGTATTTTCTCTGCATCAACTTAGCTGCATAAAAAAACTTCTAATTTCAAAATGTATCTTGTAATGCTAAAAAGGCATAAAGTAAAGCTCTAACCTTGAGAGAGTAGTTAAGAAACTGACAGTACAAGAAAGGCGAAAAGCAGAGTGCTGCAGAATGGAAAAAATAGTCCAAACTAGAAAAAACACAGAAAGGAAAGCAACATTCAAAAAAGGATTAGTCAAAGCTGCAAAAAAATGCAGTTCTAAAAAAAAAAAATCAGATTATAAAGAGAAAAGATTATTGAAAGACAAAACAAGTGCTAATTTTAATTTTTAAAGTTAAAAATTAAGACAGTGATAAAATCCCATTTTAATGAACAGTACTGCTATCTGCCATAAACAAAGTGTGTCTCTGATCTAGTGAATAGATTTCAGACTAATTATATTTTAATTATATTAAAAACTCTGTAGAGCAGATACAACTTGAAGTGTCTATTAATGTCATAGAGACATCAATGAACAAATATAATTTGCTTTAGAAAGTTGTCATATCTGTAATTCGTGTTGGTGAGAGATTAAAGTAGCAAGGGGAAAAAAACAGTCTACATAGGTAAAAGAAGGGTGAAACAACACAGCACTCCATAAAATAACTGTTATAGCAGAGGGCATAAACACAGATTTGTAACCTTTATCTTTCTGGGTGGCATCACTTTTAGCTTTCTCTACAACTTAGAGAAATCATGTCCTATATCACAAGAAATCTCAAAAAAAAATTCACAAAATGCTCTTTGCGAAAAACTCACAAAAGAGTTAATTGAATATTCATTTTATTTAAAAATAAGGATAAAAACACTTATATGTAACTTCTGTACTTGGTGGCTATAAATGTCCATTGACTTAGGAAAAAAAATCCAATTTTGACTTTTATTAAGTTTGTTAAAATGGAATTTTTGAACCTACGTGACAAAATTAATGCGAAACCAAAATATTCTATTGACATTTTATTGAGCACTTTCCTCAGATATATATAGATCTCTCTGAGGAATCACCACAGCGATGGTTATTTTATAGGTCACAAGAGATTTAAAAGTACAGAGTATGTATTTTTAATAGCAAATAGCCACGAGAGTATGCAAGTCCTTTTAAAGATCTATTAAGGCCGAGATATTGTACATGTACTATATACTACGAAGGGTTTCCAGATGAGGAGAGAAAAATCAAGGCACAATATGACTAAACAATGTAGCTTTAAAAATTTCTGCTGTTGGCCAGAAACCAAAAGTAGCAAAACCTGTTTCTAGTTGTACAGGTATGAAATGTGTCCATACGCTCAGGAACAGGTCATCTACATGGTAAAAACCACAAAGATTTCTCCTCACACAATGTTTTTCTTGTTTTTTTTTTTTAAATTTAAAATTGATATCAATCATAATCTCCTAGATTTTGCTTTTTGTATTGTTTTCTGTAAGAGTGAATCATCAAATGAAACATAATAATTTAATTCTTAGATATTTCATTTAAATTTTATATCCTATACATAAAAAATAATCCACAAATCCAGAAGGGGAAAAATAAGACCACATTTTTCCAATTTTGAGACTGGAAAATATGGCTGCCATACGTGTAATGAATGATGGGATAAATGAGCTGCAGCCCAAGGATGTCATACAAGGCATCCAAGCATATTTATAGCCACAAACTAAACTACAAACTAAACTACAAACAGTATACTGCTCTGTTTATAGCCACATACATTTTCTCCACTATTCTGTCCAAATCAAGTCTGTCATCTGACATAGCACTTGTTCCTTTCTGTTAATGCATTCAGGTTTTCTTTTACGTTGTCTTACCTTCTGAAAAGTGGCCCTATCTGATGGTGGAATCATTTCAGGAGTAAGAACGTGAGGAGGGTCAATGCCCTTTATTAACTTTTGATTGATTAAGTGAAAAGCCAAGGCAAACTGATCCTTTGAAAGCTTCCCACAGTCCTTTGTGACACACAATGCCCTGTACAAATAAAACAAAATGAACAGTATATAAAATGCCACAACTAGCATTCTAAAAATCCAAGGAAAAAGTAATATGATTACTTAGCTTTTTGAAAATAGTAAGTTGAATTAAAAAAGAAAGTCATAGCAACTTGTGGCCTGCCTAAAACTCAAACATTAGAAGCGAGAGACCAACTAAAACAAGAGATGGGGGTGGGGGATGCTCATCCTGGTGCTGAGCAGGTGCCTCTAATCAGGATTTGCTTTGTGTATTCTTACCAATTTCCAGAACCACTGCTGAGTAAGAGCTGTGGTGGGCCAAAGAATCCCAATACTCTCTACTCTCAACATTTTCAACATTAAAAAATGTCAAAAGTGAAACCTAAGTTTCAACAAATTTGGTTCATTAGTGGCATTACAATAATTTTAAAACAAGCAAAAATTTCCCTGTCAGCTTCCTTCCTGCAACTCATGGAGTAGGAGGATATAAGGATCACCAAGTCAAAGCAGAAACAACAGCTGCAAATAGAGATCACATGTGAAGAAAAGGCAGCAATCTGGAAAGCTTTACAAAATCACTTGAAGACAAACAACAAATGTTCTATTCTAGCTTCTTTTTCCCTTTTTCCCCCTCTAAGCTTAGCTTCTGAAGTCCTGATTTGTTTGATTCATTGAAAGCCAATATGGCCTGATGAAAAGACTACAGATTATAGTGTCAAGAATCCTTGGATTCCAGCTTTTCTATTATTATTTTTGGGATCTTAGTCAAATTTTTAAACTCTCTAAGCCTTAGTTTCTTCATCTAGAAAGCAGAGATAATGGCCATTTTGTAAGGTTACTGTGAATTAAAGACAAAGTACATCAAAAGTGTGGGCATAATGCCACACCCACGAGAGCTGCCATTTATTGAGCATAGTGCCTCACTGAGGCACTCGAAAGTGGCAGCTATTATTAGTTATATACATATAATCTTTACTGGTTTTGGAGAATCTTATTCCTTTTAAGGCAGATCTACTGCTCCCTTTTGTTCTTTTCTAAGTTTCTCTTTGCAACTATATGGTTCTACTACTAATTTTTGCTGCCCCTTGAAAAACCTCAAGATGACCTCTGATATAGTCCTGTGGATTGGCAGCAGGCACACTATAAAGCATTTTCATATAAATTATCTCATTTAATGTGAAATTCACTTGAAATACAAGGTTTATCTTTTTTAAGGACCAAATGTGTAATTCCTATGTAAAAGTATAAAGGTATTCATATACCCTACAGAATTATAAAAGTATGCCTTGAAGACACTGTTTTTTTATATTGTTTAAATTTCAGATTTTGGATTATCCCTTAAAAATTTACCTTTAATGAACTGATATAAATAGATGCTGCATTTTAATATTCTAATAACAATTAACTGACACTGTCAATCTTATAAAACTTCAGGTAACTCATTCTCAAGCTCTGTCTGTTATCCAGAAGAAATCCTCAGTTCTAAATTTTCTCTATAAAGAATTCTGGAAAAAAACTATGCTATTTACAAATGCCTTTAATAAGAATATACAAAATTAGATTTGATACAAAACTATATGTGTTTTTAAAACCAATTTAAATAAAGTCTTACCAAATATGGGCTAGTAAGGTAGAAGGTAAACCTGTCTTTAGGAAGATTTCACGAACTTCTAGTCCAGACACAAATCCATCCATATCTTTGTCAGTTTTCAGGAAGATTTCATCATATTTAGCTTTTTCTGCAGGTGATACAACCCACTACAGGGGAAAAAAAAAAGGTATTTATATACAGAATTTCTGCCAAAATGAAACAAACTTTTAAGTGTCACTCTTTTAACTCCTGACAGTATCTGTCACAAATTCTGAGCAATTCTACCCCACTAACTACTAACTACGGCAACAGTGTATCACGTCCATCACACCCTAATCAAAATGCTGTGGTAAAGACAAAATTACAGAAGAAAACTATAGGTCAGTTGAGATTATTTATAGATGTCCAATTTACTCTCTTTTCAAGTAATGAGTAAATTCAAGCACAGTTAACTCTTGACTTATGAATGATCACCTTAACATAGGTAACTGGGAGAGTCTATATAAAATATTCAGATAATTCTCAATCTTCATTTTTTATAGTTTCATTCAGCATTGTTAATTGTAGCCAAGCTGGCTGATTTGCATATTCTATCATTATTTTCCTTTATTCAACCTGACAAGAAGCAGGTTGGAGGAAAAAAAGGTCCCTGGACACCCCAAAATTGGATAACTTGAACCCAAAGAATCAAGAGTTAACTAGAGATTAAACAAACAAAAACATCTATTAATTATGCCAGAGCGAGGAAGCCAGATTAGCATGGGGTATCTGCTACCTCCAACTTTAATTTGAGGTAGATCAAGGCAAAGCCAATGAAACATCCATATGACCTAAGGAAAGCCAAATGCAGAAGGATTATGTTTTCTGAGATATCCCATTATGCAGGTTCAACCAGAGGGAGCTCTAAATCTTTGATCCCTTTGATTGTTCCTTCTATCTTCATCAAACAATCAACTGTTAAATGCCATGCACTTTGTTTTTAAAAAATAGTGCTTTAACACTGATAAATCTATACCTGTCTTAATGATGCTTTGGTAGGCATTTTATCTACAGGTGGTAAGGAGTGGTAAGATTCCTTGGCTGATGTTGAAGTGGGGATCAACTGCATAGAGCCTGATATACTGACCGTTTTCCTCTTAGAAGGTGGCACCAAGGCTGGAGGCAAGGACATTGGCACAGGTTCTTTCTCCAATGCACAGTATACCAAAAACATGGCCTTCAAAATAGATGAACCAGGGTCATATATATTAAAATAATTTAACGACATCTACTCATTAAATTGATTATTGCTCAACTTTGTTCAAACTGTCTCAAATCTCTTTTTTTAAGAAATTAGGCTGGGAAGGAAAAGAGGAAGAAAAGAGGAAGAGATAAAAGGAAGGAAGAATAAAAAATGTACCCTTCAACTAAAGTTCTTGCAATGTTAAAAGCAAACAACCTGGGAAAAAAATATTTGCAAAGAAAGAGCTAATCTCTCTAATTCTATATAAAGAGTTCCTATAAATTAACTGAAGAAAAACCAAATCCAATAGGAAAATGGGCAAAGAGTATGAACAGATATTTTACAGAAAAGCAAATACTATAAAGGGCCTATCCTTAACGTACAAAAATATGTTCACTTTTGCTCACGAGAAAACTGCAAGTTAAAACTAAATTAAAATACCATTTCCACCTAATTGGCAAAAATCCAAAGTTTCATAACATACTTTGTCAGCTAGATGGAGCAAACAGGTACTTTCGTACACTGCTAGTGGGAGCTCAAACTGGTACCAAGTCTATGAAGGGCAAATTGGCAACATCTACCAAATTTATTTATTTCCCCTTTGGCTCAGCAATCCCCTATCTGGAAATCTAACTTCAGATTTACCTGCCCACATAGGAAACACTGCATGAAAAAAGGTTATTAATTACAGAATTGTTTGTATCAGCACTCAAGTGCTCATCAACGGAAGACTAGTCAAAAAATTATGGTAGATCCATATGATGAAATATTATGAAAAAAAAGGGAAACATTCTGTATCTTAACTGTGGTGGTACTTTCACAGGTACATATAATCATAAAGCTCATCAAATTATGTATTTAAATTAAATGCAGTTCATTGTATATAAAACAGTCCTCGATGAAGTTGACCGGAAAAAAAAAAAAAAAAAAGAAACATGGAGCTCGCTCTATAAAAAGATATCCAACATACACTGTTAAACATGAAAAAGTACAGGGTTGAACAGTATGCATAACAGTGTGTATACTGTATTATCTTCTGTGGCAAGGGAATAATTATTATTCATACTTGTTTATATTTGCATTTAAGAAATTCTAGAAGGATAAACAAGAAACTACAGACTGTCTTAGGATATCCCCTCCATTTTGAATTCAAGGAACCTTTAAGACTTTCACAAGATGAAAATTTTCCATGACTATCTTCAAGCACATGAAATTACTCAAAGCAACTTGGAACCTCCAGAAAGATTCCAACAGCAACTGGAAAGAAGCTTGAATATTTCTTAATTTTTCCTTCCATTAAAAATGACAATTCTACCCAAAAAGAAGTTAGCTTCTATTTCTAAGTTAAGTTTTCTAGGGCTTTCAAATTAGTATTTATTGAGCACCTAATACAATAACACTGATCCATGATTTCTGTGATTACTAATATCGTCTTAAAATAAAAGAAACTAAGGCTAAGAGATGCTAAGTAATTTGTCTGATATATTTTTAGGAAGTGATAGAGTAAGGTTCAAACCAAGATCTTCTGGCTACAAAGCACTTTTTTCCAGATTCGATCAGCTTTATTAGGAGTGTACATACAATTCTATAATGCCATGCTGTCCTCTACAACCAATAAGACTAACTTTTAACCCACTGGTACCCAAATTGAAGTAGGCATCAGAATTACCAGGACAGTTTGATAAAGCACAGATTTTTGGGTCCTGCTCTCAGAATTCTAGATTCAGTAAGTCTGGAGTTAGGCCTGAGATTTTGCATTTCTGAGAAGTTCCACAGGTGATGTTGATGCTGTTTGTCCTGGTACCGCATTTAACAATTTGACCCAACCAAGAATTTTCCTCTCTCCATTTACTAGTCAACCTGAAGAACTCAATTTCAGTTTTAGAAACACACAAACTTTCTATTTCCAAAAGCTTGAAACTCCAGAAAAGGAAAACCAATCTGGCTAGCACAACCTTTTGACCAAATTCACATTATATGTAATATTATTAGATTGGCACTGAGCTAAAGAAGTGACTAACATGCACATTAAAAGTCAGCATCCCTCTTGTTGCAGATGGGAGTCATTTCCTGGAAAAGTGGACACTAGAAACAAAAAAAGCAATGTCAGCCATCTGCTGCCAATAGACAACACATTTTTTGAAAGTTAAAAAAATACTATATTACTAATTCCGTGTTGCTTTGACAATAGTTTCCCTGACAAAACTGAAGTCAGAAATGTTACAACCAAATAAAACAGAGAAAGCGAATAGTACACTGCTAGGTTGTGATTTTGTTTTCTTATAATATTGTACTTTATCCTAATCAAAGTCTGCCATCAAAACAAATACAGCAACTAAATCGAATGACACACCACACTCACATGCACAAAAAAATCTGGCTGGCAACTCATTTTTAAACTGAAATGTACTAGAACAAATGCATTTACACAGCTAGGGATAGATACTTAACAAAGAAGCATTTAGAATATCTTTTTGATGATTTCAAAATAAAAATATCAAAAATAAATCTAAGCTTACTTCAGGACAGCAGGAAAAAAAGGGGATTTCATTTCACGGTTGCAGTCAAATACCAGTGGCTGCTCACTTTTTTATTTTTTTTCATTCTCTGTGCTTTCAGGAGTATTTCTCAAAATTTAGTGGCCATCAATTACCTGAAGGGCTTGTTAAAACACAAGTTTTTCAACCCTACCCCAGAGATTCTGATTCAGTTGGGCCAGGGTATGGCCTGAGAATTTGCATTTCTAGTAAGTTCTCTGGTAATGCTGATGTTGCTGATGGAAGATTATACTTTGAGAACTAGAATTTAGGAGCTTCATTAGGAGTTTCATTTGCTCATTGGTCTAGTCAATCAATTAAATTGTCAGTTATAATTTCTTAAAATAGCACTCTAGGATGAAACATCAGGCATTTCTTGTGTTTTTCAAATTAATACAAGTTTCCTTCATCATGTTAGTTCAACAAAACATTACTGAGAAATTTCTAGCTACTGGGCATTGTGCTAGGCACTAGAAATACAAAAGTGAAAAGAGTTCTCACTTTTACAACCCAATAAAAGTAGCAAGCATGTAAAAAGTTAATTTTGATACGTGAAAATGCTAATATAGACAAGTACAGGTCCTTTATAAATTTCCAAGTGCCAAAAATTCCTTATAATAATGAGGACCCAACAAATGCTATTTACGAAAATTTAGACCACTTTCAGTCTAAAAACTTACCTGACAGAAAAATTTAAGACTTAATAAGAATGTAAAAAGGAGATAGGTATGAAGACAGAATACAAAGTAAAATGATCATAAGGCTATCACTCCAAACTATAAAGTGGGAAAAGGGGAAAATAGTAACTTTATGGTAGAGAAACCTGACAAACACCACTTTAATCAAGTGATGAAGATTATCATCACCAGTGATGGCATGAGGGCATCATGTACTGCTCCCCGCTCCTGATAAATGTGATGAGAAAATCATTTCACGTCTGTGGTATTCTTTCCAAAAACCCATACCCCTAGTCTAATCATGAGAAAAACATCAGACAACCTACACTGGGAGACAGTCTACAGGATAACTAGCCAGTACTCCTCTATAATGCTATAGTCATAGAAAAAAAGAACAATACTGAGAAATTATCCAGAGAGGCTGAGACATGGCAATTAAATAAAATGTAGTAGCCTAGATTGGCTCATGGGATAAAAAAGAAAAACCCAAATAAAATCTGGAGTTTGATTAACAGTAATGTACCAATGTTGATTTCTTAGTTTTGACAAATGTACCATGGTAATGCAGTATGTTAATATTAGGGGAATGTGGGTGAGGAGTATTGGGGAACTCTCTGTACTACCTCTATAAATTTACTTTTCTGTTAATTGAAAACTATTCCAAAATTTTAAATTTACTTAAAAAAAAAATTTATGATATAGAAGAAGGCCCAGGTTCAGCCCTGGTTGTCATTAATTGTGCTGCTTAGAGGACCTAATTTATAGGAACTTGTCCAACTCTAAAAATCTATGAAAAAGCATGAGCATAAGCTCATTTACCAACTACTAAATTATTAGATTTAGGGGCCTTCCCTTTAAGTTTAAAAGCAGTAGTTTCAAGCCTCAATAAAACAGAACTACTTCACAGAACAGGACTGTACACTAGTGGAACTCAGCCCAACAAAAGGAATGATAAACTTTAACATTATTATTAGTCAATTCCCTTGGTTCAATACCAATACCATAATTTTATATACATTTTGAGTTTTAAATTGACACCGGAGAAGAAAATTTGACCCTTTTGCAAAATATCCCCTTAATGCCCTGTCAGAGACTTTCTACTAAGCTAAATGAAGTAAAATTCGGAAAGATATATTTCTGATATCTTATACTCTAGTCATACAATTCATCAATGAGCAAATAGAATACTGGTAATACTAATAGATTTAAAAAATATTCGAGGACATAGAAATTACTTTCAAAAACCACTTTATTTTTGTGTGTGTACAGACATACACATCCCTCTCAAAAGTCATTTAAATTGTGGCCAGAACACCCAAAGCATGCCAAGGCCTGACTTTTACAAATTCAGTTAAAAAAAAAAAAAAAAAAAAAACTAAAAATTCTGGATTTTTAAATAATCTACTAGGTTTCAGAGAATATACAAAAACATTCACATTTGAAAAGAAACGAGGACCATTCATTAAAAGTTCATATGGCACAAGAGTTATACAAGTTCAAATCTCTCACTAACTTCATTTATTCCAATTAAAAAAATAAACCAACCAAAAATCCCATTTATGTTATAAAAATAAAGAAAAAAAACTGATTAAGAATTTTAATGGTAAGTCTCAAACATAAAGATTTAGGTCTAATCAAGTTTGGGTTCATTAGTGAAATAAGTAATTATTCTTAAAAAAAAAAAAAGCCATATAATTTAATAATTCAAGTTGAGATCTCTCGTTAACTTCATTTTTATTTATTCCAATTCAAAAAATAAACAGAGAGTAGAAAATAGGTCTTTAAAACACACAAAAAGCACTGTTTAATCCAAAAGGAAATGGATAAGAATTTTAGAGGTAAGTCTTAAACATATATTCTCATGTTCAATCTACTTTTGATTAATTAGTAAAATAATATACTATGGGGAAAAAAATGGTCATACTTCGATAAGCCAGAAAACCAGCAGAATATAAATTAGCATAGTACAAAGGAACTAATCATATGATTAAGTACATTATCTTTACATTATTTGGGAAGATAATTTAAAATGTTCAGAGTTTAGTTATTACACTGTTACAAGAGTATTTTAAACATTACTTCTATTTTCAAAGAAGAATGAGGTTAACTCTTAAAAATTCAGTTTTTAAAGATATTGATGCTCATAAGTAAAGATAAAAATCAAGAACTTGCAGTTTAAGTTACACTGGCTATGTTGTAGTAAGTATAATTTTAAAAAACAGTAATGACTATATTGTCCCACTCATTAAAGTAAAAAAGATGTAATAAGATACACTGGGCAAATTCTACCCAAAAGAATGCTAGTGAGACTATTAATATGCACAAAACTATAAGGAAAATCCTAGAACCAAAAGAACTAAATTAACTGAGTAAAAGCTAGAATTTTAGTTACAAAAAATGTTTTAAAATCTTCTGGAGTTATAAGGTGAAAAGGAAATAAGTGAAAATAACATAAAGGTCTCATTTTACTAAGCCAGGGTTAACAATTTTGTTTTCAAATACTGGAGAAACAAGTATGATAAATACAAGGAAAAGTGTATTAACCTTTAATGGCACAAACATTATAACAGAATTTCCACATTAATAAGAGGGGCAAAATGAATTAATCACAACTTGATAACAAGCAGTAATAAGAAACATTTAAAAAGAAAATAATAATGTAAAATAAATAGATATGGGGGAATAAAATCAATATATGTCATCTTAAGAGACATACAAAAAGTCAAATTAGGTATAAATTTAAACAGGAATGTGCCACTTTCAAGAGATACATTTTAAACATAAAAAATATTAGGTAATCCAAATAAAAAAACAGAAGCACTATTAGCATCATACAAGCTGGAATTCAAAATTAAAGGCACTAAGCATGATAAAATTGAAAAGAATTTCTGAGGAAAGCACATAAAAAGAAATTATGTGGCAAAATGGTTAAAATTAGTAAATATAGGGAAGGTACACGGTGTTCACTATTTTAAAGCAGCAATCTCAATACGAATACAAACATGGTGTTTATTCTCAAATTATTATTTTAATAAAGGTTCATTTTTATTTTTTTAAAAAGAGTAAGTTGCCTAGGAGGCTTCAGGGTATATAATGTAAACTGTTTTTATTCACTTACCTTAGCATATACTACTGTTGATCAAATGAGGATAACACCATTTTCCACCTATCCTAACTATGCTAATACAAATGCACCTTTGAAATTTTTAATTCTTGTTTTTATATGAAGAAAAAATCCCCCTGGACATCCTACCAATTGGTACAAATATTTTGTACCAATATTCTTAACATGAAAACCATTTATAAGAAGCTAATATAGAATCATTTGGTGGTATTTCAAAGTGCATCATCAGCCAAATCTCTTGGATACACCACCTTTCCTCAAAGCATCCCACAAACATTTGGATTATAGATTCAACCCTTGAGCTATAACTAGGATAAGTTTGGTCACCATTGTGAGGGGGTATCCCCTGTCATTTCCCAACTATCACCCAAATTAAAATGAAAAAGACTAGGGACATAGGGCCATCAACTCAAGTCACTTTAACTTTCTATTTTTATATATTTTTTTCTAATGTGATAATATTTATTTCTGCCTATTTCATTTGGCTCTTGAGATATAAAAAAAAATAAAATTTATGCAAGAGCAAAAAAAATAACAAAGAGAAACTGAAACATAATAAATCAATATAATGGATTTATAGAAGTCTAAAATCTTCTGAACAGATATGTTGACACCCAGAGAACATATGTAAAAATAGGTCATGAACTTGGCAACAAAGAAAAGCTTAACAAATTTTTTAAAGTAGAGATTTCAAAGACCACATTTCTCTAGTCATAATCTAATCAAGATGAAAGTATGTGCAAAGCTAACAAAAACTTTTAAACTTAACTACTTTGAAATTAGGAAATATATTCCAAAACAGATGATCAAAGAAAATTAAAAATTATCCAAAAAGTATTGAAAAAGAGAATACTCTGTACCAATATCTAAGAAATTTAGCTAAACCTGTCGAGAAAGTATGTCCTTAAATGCTTTGAATATTAAAGATAATAAAAAGTAAAGGGACTTAGTATTCACCTTCAGAAATAAAAAGAAGTAAATCAAAAGGAACTAGGAAGACAGAATTAAGATAAAAGCTGAAAAAAATAAAAGTAAAAACATAATAGAAAGGATAAATCCAAAAGATGCTTTTAAAGGAGCGATAAGCTAGAAAAAATCTAATTAAACAAACAAAAAAAATGAGAGGGAGCATAAAACACATAAGATTTGGAATGAGAAAGGACTACAACCACAAACCCAGAAGAGATTAAAAAAATAATGCAAATAAATCTGTGGCAATAAGTTTGAATGTCAAAGAAATGGATAATTCCTTAGCAAAATAAAGAGAAAATTTGAACAGACTAATTTCCAAAAAAGAGATTAAAAGGGGGATCATTACCAATAACGAATTCACAGTAGAATTTAATCTACCTTTAAGGAAGAGATGAATACAACTCTATTTGGAATTAACTATCCAATTACTAAGAGTAATTAATGTCTTCAGATAAGACATCAAAACTTTCTCTGCCTACATAAAGTGAAACTGAAGCGTTATTCACGTTTTCCTTTAGTGAAATAAATGTGAAAATCTGGGGGTATATTTGAGGTAAAATTATTCCATAGCAGAAGCAGGTACTGAGATGTCTGGTAAAGTTGGGGTACAAAAGATAATATTACTCAGCATCATATTACAGTGCATATCCAAAGCATATATTTGTATGTACCTTGAAGTCAAATAAAATGAAGATGACAAAAATATGCATCATCTATTATCCATTTGTTTCAAAATATTTATTGACTAGCTATAATTTCTAGGAAAAAATATTCATAGCAACAATCTTAGGGAAATATAGTTTTCCTCAAAGGATGAACTAAAAGGGGAAGTTTTCACGTGAGTAAACCATTAAGATGTTGAAGATTTTAAGAGCATTAGGTTACTTACAACTGCAAACTCATCTCTGTCGAGCATTCCATCATGATCAATATCACTCAATTCCCAAACCTTAAAAAGAAAAGAATTGAGGAAGATTACTGTTCTTCCATTTCATACGCTACATGTAAACACCAAATACATATGTGAGGACAAAAGTTTTGCCTAATCATTATAATATCTATTTCTCTGAGAAATTTCAATTATGCTGATTTTATTATATCACTATATTATATGCCATATTAACATTACTGTAAAAAGTAATAATTCTTAAAGCTAAGTATCTTAACGCCAAGAATCCTTTACAAACCTTTAAAAGTTTTCTTTTCTTCATCTCAAGTAAGAAAACAATTACATACACAATACTTTAGATAACTACAATGCTTTTTCACAAACATTTTCTCAGTTAATTCATGTAACGACTCTACATGGTACTATCAACTCTACTTTAGAAATGAGGCTACATGATTTATCTAGGATCATGCAATTTATCCAATTTTCAATGTGAAGACTTCTAACTAAGTCCATTATTGTTTTC